GGGGGTAAAAGACACTTTTAATATGACACGTTTTTTCAAAATTATTTCTCAAATTTGAACCATTTACTGTCCTTGTGACTTTTGGCACATGCTTTATTATTATTATTATTACTCCTCAGGGTTAATTGTCTTTCAAAGTTGTTTATCTTTACATTATTTTTGTTGGTAGTAGTTACTATATAAATTGTGCTCCTTTCAGTCAATTTTCTAAGGCTATAAATAACAGACAAGTTGCAAATCTGCATCAGTGCACGGAATTTCCAATCTTGGAGCTTTTCACATTAATGAAATCACATGACAGAATTCTCCTTCAAAAGAATATTATTTTATTTGCAAAAGTGTAATGAAACTGATATGGAATTTGAAAAGATCTCAGTTATACTTTCTGCTATTCTGTAGCTGTTATAAGGACCTTATCGGCAAAGACAATGCCTTAATATTTTTCTTTTGGCATCTCTCACACATACCCGATTGATACCTTAGGACATTCTTTATTAAGTGGCAACAAGGAAATGGAGCTGAGAGGAAATAGCCTCTGTTGTGGATATTTCTAAAATACTTTTCAAAGTTTTACTCAAGGGCAACTATACTATGATCTTTCCTACCTATTTTTATACAAGTAGCTGTCTCTGGATTAGGTTCCTTGATGTATTCAGCCCTTGGGAAAAGGCCAGTCTCTATGGATCTATATGCTTGTGTGGTCAATGCACTCGTGAAGCATATGTGAAAACTTTCATGTTCATTGTATTTTTTCCTTAAAGATGGCAATTTGATGCCATTGTCAGTGAGCCTCACAGATTAGTAAGCAGAACTCATGAGGCACTCTGACCCACTGGCTTGAAAGTGAAGCAAATACAATATCCGGTCTGATAAAATGGTATTCACAGACTATTTCCAGCACAGAACATCATAATTTGGACTATTTCCACATCCCCTTTGGCTGGAAATCAGGGGATGGAAAAATTAATTTGTTTGTTGTCTTCATTACTTGTTTTTTGTAGCATGTTAATTAATTGTTCTTCAGTAGAGAAAGTAATATTTGTAATAGTTCAGAATGATTTAGCTAAGTCATTGGGGTTAGAGATGTTCCAATTCAGAATTATCTCTTATATATAACATACTACCTCAATGTCACTTATATAAGGAATGCTAATGTAGACAGGAAATGAATAGGAGGGCCTGGTGAGAAAAACAAGGTAAGAAAAAAAAGGAATTTTTTCCTTGGCACTACCATTTCTAGTTACTCTTATTTGAATGCACAATGGACCTGGAGAATAATTTGTAGTAATTGGGTATTGCTGTTTTTCACAATTTGTGCATGGTTATTATGTTTCTGGTGGCTGCCAGTGTCCAGACTTTCATCAGCTTTATACAGTTATCACCATCCTGGAGCTGGTCTGAGGACATTGCTCCAGAATCTGGCTTGCTCTCAGAAATGACATTTAGTTAGTATTCTGGCCAGGGACCTTTAACAATGCTTACTTTATACCCTTTGAAGCAACAGAGACTGTAAAGGGCTTATTGGATAGATATAGATCCTGATGCTTAGGAAAAAGTCAAGTAGCCATTAGTGCTAGAATGACATATGAGACTATATTCACTTAGATATCACTAAATCTTAAGGAAGTGTATTTTAAGCAATCTAGAATTGATTATTTCTGCTTTTAGAAATTCCTTTAAAGTGAACCATGTCAATGTGAATTTTTAATTTGTTTATAGGCAAGAAATAATCCTATTGAGAAATCATAGCTCATGCATTAATTAAGATGGTATGGTTCAGTGGAAAGAGTATTACTTCTAAAATTAGAGGATCTGGGTTCAGACTCTGTCTTTGACACGTATACCTCTGTGACCTTGAAACATGTGCATAAATTACTCAACTATTTCATCTGTAAAATCAGAGGTTTGAATTAAATATCCTCTGAGATTCCTTTTAATTTTAGATTTAAGATCTTTTGATTTTACTGCGTGCCTAGATTTTATACATGCATGGATATGGACACATATGAAATATATATATACCTACATATATATATATGTATAATGTATATATATATACATGCATCATATATGTATTCATGCATTCTCATTTTTCATAATGTTACACAGGAAATTTCCATGTATTTTTATAAAATCTTCCAAGATAGAGAAGAAGAATTTAAGGTAATGTATGAATTTAACAAATAATATTTTGGAGTAAATTTTATTCATCTAAACTTTTATTATATAATCATTTAAGGATCCTATTGAGAAGAGAAAAAAAATCACATCTCGCATTCTTGGTCCAAGTTTTCAGATGAATATGTACTTTCTTGTAAAGAATACATTGCTCATAATCAAGCATGTGGCTGAAAAAAAATACTGATGTCTAAAATTTTGCCTTCCTAATATTCTGTATTGGATGCTTCAGATCTGAAATCATGGTCAACATTGTGTGTGTGTGTGTTTTTCAAATCTATTACACTGTTTCTTTTTTCAAATTATATTTAGCAAATTGTGTTTTGGTGTAAAAAGCAACAGGAGAATGAGACAAGTAATAGACAATTTACCCTCTTCCACTGCCATAACTTCCTACTGCTTGGTTTACAATAGAGAATTTGGTATCGGCTCCTTCTTGCTTCGAACAAATCCACAGTGGTCTTGAATCTGAATAAACACGACTAATACTAATACTAGCACTAAGTATGATTACTACACTAGGATTAAGTATGACTTACAAGAACAGGAATCCTGTCACATTTTCCAGAATACCAAACAAGCAACATTTTTTTTTCTAAAGCTACCATTTAATTTCATATGAACTCAAGTGGTCAGGCAATTTTTTGTTACATTTTGCCAGCATAGTAATCCATCCATATGTGCAATGCCATGATTTGTGGCAAAAAAAATACTGCAAGTGTTTTATATATCTAAGCTAAAATACGCAGAAAATTATATGCTTTATTATTAAAGATCAATAATCTTAATAAAAAAGCACAAAACATCCACAACATGTTGCAGCACCACTGCAACCTGATGCTTTTATAATCCTATAAGCAATTAATAATACTTAAATGTTTCAATGGATCTGTGATCTCATCTTTGTGGATATGGCCCCCAGTGGCATATATTATAGTCCCTTCATTCCTGACCGTCTTGTGTTGCTTACATCCTTCTTTAAATCCTCAGATCTATCCAATACCCTGAGGGTCTTCTTCTTGATCTCTTCATATTGTTGGGTTAGCTAGTGGAATACATGGCCTGCCAATCTGTTATCCTCTGCTCTTGTTATGTGATCATCCAACCTTGTTTTCTGGTCAAAATCAAGTCAACTTCATAAGATGTATTAAGCACTTCATTATTTGCCAGATCAAAGGGCTCTTTGATGGCATGTTTTATGCCACTTCTTATACTCACCTCTTCTTTTGTAATATATTATAGGCTGTGTCCACCATTAGTATTGTAGAAATGACCAGAGATGGTTACATTGAATGCAAGGGTGAAAATTCTACCTAATATCCAAATGTTTTAACTATGTGGCATCAACAATTCAAATCTTTGTAAACAAATTCACTAATTATTTCAATGTTCACATGATTGGTTGATATTATGGAAATAACAGGTATTGAGGCAATATGATATAATAGATAGATGGTTAGCCATGAACTCAGAAAGACACAAATTCAAGATCTGGCTCTGAATAATAATAATAATAATAATAATAATAATAATAATAATAATAATAATAATAATAATAAATAGCTAGAAATAGTTAACATGTTAAAATAACCATTATATATGTTATCTTATATAATCTTCACAATAACTTTGTGAAGTTAGTGCTATTATTATCTCCATTTTGCATATGAGGAAATTGGGATTAAGAGAGTTTGAATAACTTTTCCAAGATCACACAACTAGTACTTTTCTGAGGTAAGTTTTGTCTTCAGGTGTTTCTGCTTCTCATATGAAGCATTTTTATCCACTCTGCTGCTTGTTTGTCTCACATACTTCTTGAAAAACCATGAGGAAATCACTGAACTTCTCAGTGCTCCCTGGCTACTTTCTAAATATGTAAGTTACAGGAGAATTACCTATATGCATTGGTGAAGAAATTTATATCCTTGAGAATTCCTTAACAATGAAATCATAAGTTCAAACAAATAAATAAAAACAAAAAGGCAAGCTATACACGTCATTTTGGCTTATGGTACATGCAATTGTTCATAATTAATCAAATAAACAACTGAAATGATATTTAAGTTTAGGGCCTGAAGTTACATTCAAAAATTGTCTTTTGTTATCTCTTATAAATGTAAGATACTGAAAAATGGGAAAAAAGTGAATATTGTATACACATTAACAAATAAACCTTATAATTTGTGTTGCAATTACAAAGACAATTCTGTATAAGTGCTACCATGTGGTGAAAACTCTGTTCTGTTTTATGAGCCCAATCTCAATGAAGTAGATATTTAGAAGCATTTTTCTTTTTTTCAGGTTTTGACTGCTTAGTGCTAAGTAGGTGAAGGCAATGATTTATAATGATCAATTTATAAATATTTGAAAAACAAAAATTTGGCTATGAGTCAACACAAGCCATTAATTATCTTTTGGCATAGTATCTTCCATTTACTTCCTCTATGACCTTGGCAAAGTCATTTCAAGTACCTTGGCCTTGTTTTACTACTTCATAAAATTGGGGATTGGATTTGATTATTGCCAATGTCTGTTTTAGCATTGTGTATATGCTTATTATACTGTAAACTTCTACTTAATTATGTTAATTTCTCTATGAATTTCATTTCATTACTTTTTGTAATTATGTATTACATAGAGTTGGTATAAGGAATATGAGTTATAAGGGTATGAGGAATAAACTGAGTGATACTGAATTATAATTATTTATAACATTCCAAAATGGAAAATCATGCAATCATTTCTATGCTTAAGCATGAGTACTAAATTGGAAAGACGCCAATATATTAATCATCATATATATATTTTTTTCTATTTTGCAGCACCTTCTCCAGTTACTAATGTGAAAAAAGGAAAGATTGCAAAAAATAGCATCTCTTTGTCTTGGCAAGAGCCAGATCGTCCCAACGGAATTATCCTGGAGTATGAAATCAAATATTTTGAAAAGGTGTGGTTAATTGAATATAAAGTATCTTAAGTGTTTATTGTAGCAATTTATCTCCTTTGTCTAAAACTGTTTTGAAATTTTGCATGTAAATTGATGTACATTATTCTTCAGTACATGGTTAGAAAGACTTTTAATATATTATATTCTATAAGACATATATCACATATTATATATTAAATATATATTCTATAATACAGAAATTTAGACTTCATCTGGTTTACCTGCCAAACCAATTCCAGAATTTACTTTATAATATCCTTGATAAATAGTATTCAACTTCTGATTAAATACTTCCAGTGATAAGATACTCACTATCATATCCCATACATTGGTTGACAGCTTTGTTAGAAAGTGTTCCTTGTATTAAGTTGAAATATGCCTTCCTTTAAGTTCCTTTCATTGAGCATTCTTATGGCTCTTGGAACTGCCTGTTCCCTCTCCTACATAACATCCTTCCAAATGTTTGAAACAATAATCTACCTCCACCCCTCAACCTCTGAGTCTTACAGTGGAATGTTGGACTCCAAAGAAGTCAGTTTATTAATGGTGCCATATGTACAGGGAAGTCACTGTTTATAGTTGACAATGAGGTAGCAGAATAACACACAAAAAAATCTGAGCAGCAGGATGCATGATCCCTGCTGTGCCATTTCTGCCAAACATATACTTTAAAAGTATTTCCAGTTTTTTAGTCACTTTTAATAAGTTGAGGTCCTAGGAAAACTCCAAGAGAATTTAAAGTACAGAGCTTTCCTTGTAATAATGGTGAACTGCAAAAGAGAAAAAAAAAGCATATTAGGGAAAATAACTGTACACAGCTGAATAAGATGATTTAAAGAATTTATAATAATTTTCCAAAGAAGTTATCCGTATATAAAATCAGGTGATTAAAAAAGTAAATGGACAAAGATCGAATAAAATGTATGAAATAGCAAGACTATGCAAAGTAATGGTGTTTGTTTGTCAAGTAAGGCTTTTTTAGAATTGGCATGACATATTTAATGATGTTCTGGTATTTCTTAAAAACAATTGAAAGTATTCTTACCACGCAGTTTTGGAGATGGTCAAGAGAAAAGTTTAGTTAACAGAAGGGACTGGAGTATAATAGGAACAAGACTTTGGATAGGCAGTAGTGTGGAGAGCAGTTTATGTTAAAAAGACATGTAGTTGTGGGTTTCACAAACTGGAGAAAACAACCTCCTTCAATGCTTGAGGATTTTTCCACTGTATTTTCTTAGCACTTTTGATCTGCCATCATTCCAAAAATATGTCAATTTGTCAGTAATATTATTGAAATTGTGAAATAGAAAGTTACAAATAAAATTTATTTAAAGTGAAAGGTTGATGGTGAAAAGAAGGTGTATGAGTTCAATTAATATCAATTTGTGTAATTTAAAAATTTGAGGTGCTGTGATTTAAGATAAATCCCAACTCTACTATTAAGTACCTGAGTGATGTAAGACAGATAATTTAATCTTTATGAGCCTCAGTTTTCCCATGTGGAAAAATAAGCGATTTGACTAGATTACCTGTGAGGCCCCTTCCAGTCTTGGTTCACATGATCCTATCAATTATAATCACCACCTAAAGGAAAAATATATCCTGCCTAATATTCATCTTAAATAGCATCATATTCTTGATATTGAATTGCTATCCTGTTGCATATATGTAAACATTTTTCAAAATTCAGAAAAACACTAATTATATATTAAATTGTTGACCTGACTAAAAATGCTAATTTCTTGATCTAACCCCATAATTTACAATGCATATATTACCTGGAATTTATGTGTTCCTGATTAATCCCTTCAACCTAAAAAATATAGATAAAAAACAAATTATTTTTTCATCAATATATTAAATAGAATTAAAATGCTGATATTCAGTAAGCAAAAATTATCTGATGAGCAAGTTCCCTGAAGGTCTGTGCAGCATTGTGGTACATTGCACAATGTTAGTTAGTTTGGTTTTTTTTATTATTTCCTTTGAGTTCCTCAGGGTTTTGCCCCCCGCCTTTTTTTTTAGTTCATGCTGTTCTGTACTTTAGATATTTCTAGGAATTTTTCCTAGAACGGTTTTACAGCAATAGATTTTAGTGATGTCAAAGGATTTCTTCTCCCTCACCTATTTATTGATACCTGATATAGCATCTATTTTTGTGACAAAGATGGAATCCTGTTAAAGCTGGACAATTACAAGGCACATACTTCTGCTCTCAGGTACTGGTGCTAAGCAATAGAAAACCTGGAACATGAACAGACTCAGCACTTAAAATGGCTGCTTTGGGGCACGTTTAAAAGTTTGCTGTCAGTACAATTTCTGGAACTCCCTTACAGAATGACTAGCCTTATATTAGGAGTGGGGATGAGTAGGGATCATAACAGAGAGCTTCAAAGAGTGGACAAATTCCTGACAGTCTTTAGAGACCAAATGTGTTCATTTTAGATATGCTGCTACCTTTGAATTCTTACAATTGATATATTGGATTATCTTATGAGACAACTGAAAGTATACTTTCTCTTAGTACCAACAATCATTCTTCAGAGATTTTACTTTCTCACTTAGACTAAACAGCTTAATGAGGGCATTGAGACTTTAGTCTGTCTATCTCAGTACTGTAAAATACTAGGTATCCTGATGAAGATGTTCATTGGTATCTGTCGACAAATTACTTTAACATTTATAATAGTTGATAATATGTCTCTAGCTAGTGAGACTGCATTATTATATATTACAAAAATTCTGTTCAACACATATGCAGATCACACACACACACGGGTTATCTGAATACAGGAAATTCACAGACCATGGTACTGAGGAGAGTTAAAAACAATGTTTTCCTTACATATTTTAGTTTGTGACGTATAGAATCTGTAAGGAAAATCATCTTTCAGTAGTATGCCATTCATTAAAAGACCAGGAATGGTCATAGGAGGTCATATAGAATCACTAGATCATAGGTTTAGGGCTGGAAGGAACCTTAGAAACTGTTTAAAGCAATCCGTACATTTCATGTATCATTGAACACCATTTGATCTTGATTACTAAATTGAAGTCCTAGAATTGGAAGACATTCAGAAGATCAATGGCAAGGTACTTCAAAAGGTTGAACCATCTACAATAGCATAGAAATTAGCCAGGAGCTCAAGTTGGAAGTTAGCTTATATGTTGGCTTACCAAAGTGCCTAGCATATGTAAGTGTTTAATAAATATTGCTTGATTGATATTGATATATTCATAATCAGTTAAGATACTTTCCGCAATGTTTTTTTTTCTCAAAACTTTCAATGACAAAATTTTAGGTCATATTGCATCTCTCATAATGAAATGGGCACCCAACAGACATGTTTTGTGTGTATACAATCTAACTCCTTCACAAATTTCCTCCTCTCCAGAGACCGATAGGAAGGAACTGGTTAACACCACTAGAATTCTGTAGCCAATGAGTTTGTACAACAATGAATTTAACAGATTATGCAGAAGCTTATAAAGAAGAATCAGTGTCATAGTATCTGCATTCAGATTTTATAATGATTCACTCAAAAGGTAGATATCTATTATTTACTCTAAGGGGAAAAGAAAATTTAGGTACTTGGGCAATGATTCAGAGAGGATCTTCTGGAATTCATATTATCAGCTATTGGCTTTATTCAGGGAATAAAGTCTAATGATAATGTATGGTTTTGGGGAAGGCTCCAAATGTTTATTCAATTAAGTATTTAAGAAGTTCATATGTTCAGTGCTAGCCACCGATTAATGCCTTACTGTCTTATGCAAATGTCTTACGAAGAATTTAACGTCATCCTAGTTTATCAACAGCTGATAGTTGATGGTGTTACTGTGGATATGCACACACATACAGACACAAACTGGTAATCAACATGTGTCATCCTCCCTTAAAATCCATTATAGTGGAATTTATCTTTTATAAGGAATTTCTTAGCATTTTGTGAAGCCTCTTTTTCCCCCAAGAGTTTAATTATAGCAATATATTTCACACATTAATTATTCATATACATATAAATGGCATATATAATATACATATGTAGATCATTTCCTAATAATAGTTTCAGGAGACCATGAATTCATGAAATTAATAGATAGAACATATCATCATTTAAATATAGCAAATATTGAAATGAAAGAAGAAAAAAATTTGAATTCCACTGTCACCTTCTTAGGCTACTTTATCATTGCCATTAGGTGATATCCTTCTATCCTTAGATGAAATGCTTGCAATAAATACATCATGGTGCCTATTCAAAAAATGAATGAAGGGTTTCAAGCTTTTCTGAGACTTGTTGATTTCTACCTTATTTTTATTCTGCAAAAGACAGCCACTATCAAATCATTTCATTGATTACTAGAAAAAGGATTGAAATTAAGTAAGATTTGAAAATTTTCCATAAAGAATCTTTTTCTAGAATGTCAATGATGGATTTCTAATACATAGATCATTAATGAAGGTCTGCCTATAGAGATGGTGGACCACTGATTGAGGTCCCCTTTAGAGATCCTTTCTAACCCTATGTCTATTTCAAGTATATCATTGTTTAAGCACAGAATTTCAGGTGGTCCATAGGCAACATTTGTTGATGACTCAAATGACCCATGTTAATAGGGGTATTTTGAAGAAATTGACTATGAAACCCTCACTGTTATCCATTAATTCAATAAGTTCCATAACTCCTCCTCTTAATGCGTTTTTACACTTTGGATTTTAGATGGTTAATGTTCCTAGTTTTGTCACTATTATGATCTTGAGGGTGAACCAATGACTTTTTATTCAATGTTTGTGACAAAATAATTATCTACAATCCTGGATGAATAATGGCAAATAATGATTCTACAAGTTTATCATTACATACATTCATCTAAAGGAAAATTTGATGATAAAGGATATATCTGACCCATCTATTCAAACAGATCAAATAGAATAATTATTTGTTTAGGATCTTGGATCATGTTTTGAGCTGGGTATGGAGGGAATGCCAAGCAGC